ATCAAAGCACTGGTATATTTTTATATGTCTATATAGCTAATCTATATAATACATAGTAATATTTATGTAAATATATATTAAAGAATTATTCAAAATATGTGGGAAAGAAAAATAGTTGTCTTACTGCAGGGCTCACAAAGCCAAAATAAGGAACTATGTGCTCCTTAAGCAGGGAAGCAGATTTTTACACCTGAAATGTTCTTCCTTAAACCATTAAAAGCCGATCAAAAATGAAAGACTAAAAGAGATTCCTAACAAATCAAATTTGTCAGGAATATTGCAGATGAGATTCCCATATGGACTGGATGGAGAGGTTGGATTAAATAACTTTGTAATTCAATGTACTAATAATTAATGACCGGGTAACATTTATTAACCTGCATATGTAAAGTGTGTCTGGCACTTTACATATGTGGCCTCACTTCAGCCTTAGAACCACATGATGAGGAAGGTGCTTTTATACTTCTCACCCATCAGTGGGAGAGAAGGGTCCCACTCACACCCTCAACTGCAGCCAGGCTGGTTTCCCCACATCTTGTGAGGTCCCATACACATTCTTGCCTTTACTTTTTTTTTTTTTTTTTGGAAACAGTCTTACTCTGTTACGCAGGCTGGAGTGAAGAAGCACAATCTCGGCTCACTGCAACCTCTGCCTCCCAGGTTCAAGCAATTCTTGTGCCTCAGCCTCCCAAGTAGCTGGGATTACAGGCATGCATCACCACGACCAGCTAATTTTTGTATTTTTAGTGGAGATGGGGGTTTCATCACGCTAACCAGGCTGGTCTCGAACTCCAGACCTCAGGTGATCCACCCAACTCTACCTTCCAAAGTACTGGGATTACAGGCGTGAGCCACCAAGCCCAGTCTCTGCCTTTACTTATGCCAGTCCCAACCAGGAGAAACACAGAGCTTCTCTCAATCAGAAACCTTCTAAGCAATTCAACAGTATCTTCTGTGGGGGTACCCCCAGCTTCAGCCTGGTGAAGAAGTGATTTTAGAATTCAGAAGCCCTGGGTCCAGTGGACATCCGCATCTCCCACTTTTCAGAGAGATGGAAAGAGTTTGCTTCCACTGAATCTCTTCCTCAAACACTTCTTTGTCAGGCCACGCTTCACTAAAACCTTTGCTCTAAGGCTGAACAGTGCAGACTTCTATTGAAATAAGGGTTCTGTGAACTCTAAGCCTTTCTCTGGAGAAGGTTTTTTTCAAATGCAGATGTAAAAGGAAACAGCAGGAGAGGAAAAAGGCCTGTGCCCAGGTCTATGCTCCGCCGCCTTCTCCCGGCACTTCCAAGGCCGTATGGACACCCATGGACACCCATTCATCACCTCCATGAGGATGGGGGCACTGTCACAGCACAGTCACCTCAGCACCTGGTACATCAAAAGCACTTGACAACCACTTACTACTGGAAGAAAAAAATAAATTAAAATGCATAAAAGATCAAAAATATGTCTACAATTAGGGGAAAAGCTGGCTCTCAGAGACCTCCCAATGCTAAAACTTTATAATTGGAGAAAAGTCCCCAAATGTATACTGGGTGACTACTGAGTGCAGGGCACTGCCCCACATGCCGTGAGGATGCACATAAGAGCAGCAGGAGGGAAGAGATAAACAGGTAACAAGCTGAATGTTATCTTAAAAGAGCAATACAAAATTTAAATAACAATGTTAATGCTTTCACGAGGCAAGATGTAATTGCCAAATGTATTAGATGAAGGAAAAAAGTCACTATTTGTCTTCAGCTATATCCTTTCTAGAACAAAACTGGTATGCAGCCAGGAACAATGATCAAAACCCCATTAAAAATCACGGCTCAACACATCCACTTGAAAACATTTTATGTGCCACCATTTTTGTTTCAAGATGACAACCTGAAACAGAAACACAACCCCAGTCTCACCTGAAACTCTCCTGCACCTATCTCACTCAGTCAAAACAATTCAAGACTTCACAGATTATCAGAGAACAGAGAGGCAACGTCACATGCATTTAAAAGTCAAGGTAAAACAGATTCCTCTTTCTTCAATTTTTTTTAAAAAAATGTTTCATATGACAAATTTCAGAGGAATGTAAATTTTAGAAAGACTTGGGCACAAAAATCCAAAGACCAAAATCTCAAGCTCACTCTTCCACTGCCTTAACTGGTAGAAATGTAAATTAGCACAACCTCCCTGTGGGGCAGTTTGGCAATAAATAGCAAATTGTAAAACGTATTATTATCTCCTTATTGTAAATTCCTAGAAGTGGAATTGCTGGGTCAAAAGTATTGCAGGAGCAGGAGGGAAATGCATGCACAAGGGCGGTCCTGACAGAACTGGCTACAATACCAAACAATGATCATAATGATACTGCAAACAACCTAAACGATCCTAACTAAGGGTTTGCGTAAGTCAATCATAGTGCATCGATATCGCAGAAACAATGAAGGCAACAAATATGACCACGTAGGGTACAATCACATGGAAAAATGCCTCTGACACTGTTGAATGGAAAAAGCCGTCTGGCAAACACCACGTATGATCCCATTTACACAGAAGTGTACACAACCATATGTTTATATGCACACAGGCCTCTGGAAGGCTGCACCAAAACATGACTGAGGGTTATCTCACGGTGATGAGGTGAGAGGATTTGTTAGTTCTCTATTTACTTCTGTATTTAATTTTTTCTAGTATGCCTTTTCGTTTTTGAACAAAATCATCATGCTGTTAAAAATAAACTTCCTTCATTTACAGATCACCCAATTCTGTGCAAAATGTGGGACTTTCTTCACCACTGATCCTCACTGTCGTTGTGGAATATTCCAGAATACTTCCATGCCACTCGCCTACAGCCCTGGCCCTCCCCTCTTCAGGATGCTGGGCAGGATTAAATATGAGAGCAGTGCACTCCACCACCCTGGGAAGAAAGGCTTGTATAGCCTATGATTTCCAGGCCATTCCAAGTGCTTCCTGAGTCCTGCCCCACCTCCTGCAGGGCCGGATGACTAGCCCTGCCCGAGGAAGGAAATGGGGCCGCGCTGAGGATCAGAAGTTGGACCTCATAAAATTGCAAAGCAGATCAGGTGTCCAGCTCCCAAGCACAGCCTCCAACAAATCCCAGGAGGGTCTGCTGGGCTGAGCTCCTTCCTATTCTGCAAGCAAAGGGATGCCACTGCCTGCCCTGAAGTCATCAGGCGCAGAGGCCACAGGCAGCCCCCACTCCCTCCCTGGGAAGCACTTCCATCCACCTGGCAGGTGCATGCAGCCTCTGGAAAACAATATGGAAGCCACCACCAAAGCATCAGGAGAGGTCCAGAGCCAGCGGCTGTGACACCAGACAAAGTCACATGTTAACGGCTCCCAACCCTCACACCACACTGACTCCAGGAGTTCAGGCAGCAGCTCTGTCTTCCAACTTCTGGAGCTATGAGAAAACTTTCAAACGATCTCCAGAAGAAGAAGAAATAAAATGAATGAGGGAACCTGTGAGTCAGAATTCCCTCTCTGAGCCAGGCACAGGCTCTTCTGTGCCTCTGTAAGCCCCAAGGCAGACAGAACTCTCATCTCCCATTTAGGAAACAAATACTCAGAGAAGCTAAGAGGCTGGCTCAAGGGAACAGAGTTATTGGTAGAAGAACTTCAAATGTATGTCTGATTTTTTGCTCCCCATCCCACAAGGCTACCTTGGAGTTTTAGAGAGACTGCATTTTTCTCCTCCTGATTCATTTAGTCCTTCATTCTTGAGTTTGAAGGGCTTAACAGAAGACAGCTCCTACACAGGGCTCTCTCTTTCCAGGTAATAACGAGCTCTGCGAACACCCGGAGAGTTCAGGGTTCATGCTGCCCCAAAGGATCTCCGAGAAGAACCAGCCCTCCACACAACCAGCTGGAACATCACAGTGATTGGCCCTGCAGGAGATGTATATAATAAAAATTGAATGCTGCAGCATGAACTTCACACATACTTGTCCTCTTGGTTTATTCATCAGAAATAATTATCTGTGCTTGCTTTCACAAGAGCACATATTTTATAGGGTACATTAAAATTTAATGGATTTTTAATAATATTGTAACTACCGCAAGAGAAAAACTGGAAAAAGCTGCGCCACATGTCTTTGTGGCATTTTGGGGGTTTGGCTCCAGCTTTGCAAAGAAAGAACTCATTTGGTGAGGAGGGGCGGGCAGGAGAGAGTGAAGAGCCCTGATGCAAAACGCTGGGCGGGTATGAAAAATTTTATATTTGACTATTGGCAGGACAGATCTGTGCTGAGGAGGGAAGTCAAGAAGGAAAGATGCCAAATCAACAGGCATACTTTACCAAGTGGTAAATTATGCTGGACTTGACATGACTTTAGCCAACTTAGGATCTAGTTCAGAACAGAAGGAGTGCAGCAATAGTGATCCAAGCAACAGACACTTCACTTATGGAAAGGCATGAGCAGGTGCTGGCCAACAGAACAGAATGCAACTCCAGGGCTGAAAGAGATCTGAAATCTCATCCAATGTCTACAAATCCGAAATTTATAGAAAAGATAGTCAAGGCCCAGAGAAGTAAGTCGAGGCCCAAGGTCACAAAGGATATTAGGAGGGCTTCTTCTATTACTGTGTGTGGCCCAGGTTAAAAGCATATGCTTAAATCTAACTCAAACAGCAAAGATAATGTTCTCAAGTCTTTAATAAACTGCTGGGTTGTAAACTGTATATTTTTAGCCATTTCTGGGAACTATTAATTTTCATAAGCCATCTCATGGTTTTTATTTTGATATGCATCCCAAAAGATCACTCTCTTTTAGCTTTTGGGGAAAAGTTTTTTTCTCTCCCTATGGGACTCGAACCCACAGACCTGAAGGACTCATTACAGAATACAGTCCTATCTAGAGACCAAGATGAGGTGGCGCCTCGGGTCCCTCATAGAAGGCTATTATACCTGCACCCAGTACGGTCGTCTGGGGCCTCCTGAAGTGTCACCAGCCCAGAGACCAGTGTCTATTTCTGGACAAAGAAAGAAACGCATGGTGCCCTGCCACCAGTGATGCATCCCCAGCCAGCCTGACTCACCCATTCGTAAGTGCACTGCCAAAAATAACACCTTGCCAAAATTACGTTGCCTAATCTTTGACAAAGTAATATCCAAATTAAAATGAAAAAAAAAAAAAGGCTTAAATGTCAAGTGATGATGGTGATTTATGTTGTACTGATTTATATAATGCGCCACATCTCAGATGGGCAGATTTTTCCATGACATCAAACAAGACTGCGAGCAGGGTTCGCGGTGACAATGACGGCTGGAGAATGAGTGGGGCTGGAGTGTGCTCACCCTGGATGGAGCTCTCTCTCTGTCCCTGGGCAGCTTTGTGCCATTGGGCAAGTCCCTTCCTGTCCCCGACTGTCGTCTTCCTCCCGTGACAAGGGGCACAAGAATACCTGCCTCACAGGAGGCTGTAAGAATTACCTATTTATCTATCAATAAAAGCAGTTCACATAGTACCTAGTACACAGTGGAGATGCAATTATTGAGAGTTATTATTAAAAATACCTGGTGTTTACTACCACTAAATATGATTTGAATGGATAGGTCCTTTCAATTTTCCTACATAGAACTGTAATTGTAAAACTGTGTCATATTTGACAGTATTAAATATTAAAATACGGTGTAATATTAAAGCCCAAAATGTCAAACACTGCAGCATTAAACCTGACAGGCCTCCAAATGCCCTTTCGCCAAGGTGTGGTTTCTATTCATTCTGCTTTGTTGTTGTTATTGTTGTGGGTTTGAGATGAGGCCTCGCTCTGTTGTCCAGGCTGGAATGCGGTGGTGCAATCATAGCTCACTGCAACCTCGAACTCCTGGGCTCAAGTGAGCCTCCTGCTTGAGCCTCCCAAGCAGCTAGAACTACAGGCACACTTTTTGGACAGATGGAGTCTCACTATGTCACCCACACCGGTCTCAAACTCCTGGCTTCAAGCTATCCCCCTGCTTCGGCCTTCCAAAGTGTTGGGATTATAGGCATGAGCCACCGCAGCAGGAGTATTTATTTCATCTCAGTAAAAGTATACTGTACCTTCTTAGAAGAGGAGGAGGAGGAGGAATGGGGAAGAGAGAGAGAGAGACAGAGAGGAAGTCCAATAGTAGTCTAGAAGGTTCTACATTCCCAGGCCCTGTCTCTCGCTGTTGCCACCTTCAGGGAAAACCTCTCCTTCTGATCGACTCTGTCCTGTGCATGTACCAAGCCTCCCACGTGCCCCGTGTTCCCGCCCTGCATACACACACGAGCTATAACTATCTACAGCTGGAGATACTCCGTCAAAGTAATCACACGACCTCTCAGTGTCAACTTGTGCTTCGACAGAGGGTGAGGGGACTGCCATGGGGCCATTAAGCATGGACATTAAAAGCGTTGATGGTGCTAAAACACATTAACCTGTGGAGGAAGCCAGGCTATCAGCTGCAGCTACGCCGACACCATAAAAAGTAAAGAGGCCTCAGTAAGGGAACCAATATTACAGCCATTGATATAAATTATACCTCAGAACAGGGGAGAAGGGGGTGGGGTATAAAAATGGAACAAGTTCAAACTTCTTTTATTGTAATAGTCTCCAGTCGAGCATAATCACCAAAGCTATAGTGCAACACGATTGCCAAAACTAGACAAACATCTGTGAGATGGATTCATCTCAGAGGGGAGGCCAACAGCTTGTTATCATTAAAGCGGCGATGCTCGCTCTGCGACTGAACTGCAGGCCGCCTTGTTACTGCGTTTGCGGAGGCAATTGTACCAGATGTTGGCAACTATCTTCAGATAGATGACAGGCACCTGCTGTTGAGGAAATTAAGCTCCTCGTTGGCCTCTCTGATTTGGGGGTGGGGAGGAAGGAGCAAAAAGGAGTGACCCATCCAGATATCCCATGGGATAGCATTAACCCCAGGGGTGGGTGGAGCTTACTGGATGGGCAGGCCAGCTCAGCTCCTGGTGCCAAAGACCCAAGAAGGGCCCATGAGGTGCTGGAGGAAAGATGGAGGAGTTTGGCAGGAATCTAATTCAGGCCGGGGAAGGGAGAAGCTCTGAGCCATCGACTCCCTCGGCAGGTTGGTCTCGGTAACGGTCTCGAAGACTCTTCAGGAGACCCTAAATTTGAAGCATGGCTGCGGACATCAATCATCATTAAAAGCCAAACATGCAATTTTCAGACCATGTCATGCTGACTCAGATGGAGACAAAGGCTCCAAACGCGGGGGAGAGCGAGGACAAGAGAGAGAAATACCACCCAGGCCACCACAGACAAATCAAAATCATGAGAGCCCATAATTCATTTTTCAGAGCGCCCCGAATGTCAGCTGCTAGTTATTCGACAGCAATGATTCATTCCAAAGTTGGCAGGGCTGACCCGCGTCTACCTTGCTGGGGGGTGACCTACGAGAAAGATGTTGACAAAATTAAACCACCTGCGTCCCAGACCCTGGAGGTGCAACCTACCTCCTTTTCAACAGAGGGCGGTCAACCCCAGGACCAAGCAGATGGGTTCAGTACCGGAGCACTGGTGATCTCCTGACAAGGTCGTCAGATCATCTTGGCTTTCCATTATTTCTGGGCAAGTAGTGATTCTCTTTCCTCTTGGATTATCAAATTTGAACCAGGATACCCCATACTGGATTCATTCTTACGATGACTGCTGACACAATCTGACACCAATACCGATAACTGTCCTCAGGAGAGGCAGCATTGGAAACTCAGGGGCAGAGGCAGGCCCAGCCAGGACCCTTGGTGTCCTGACCAAAGAGACCAAGGTCAGAAGGTTATTCTTGAGCCTCTGTTTCCTCATCTGTAAAAGGGTCTGCAAAACCCCTTCCAGGTCTACACAGCTAACAGCCCTAAACTGTTCTCATCACAGCCAAAGAAATTAGATGGCTTGGTGCAGCTGTTGAGAAATGTAATAGCTGACTGGCACAGGGGCTCACACCTGTAATCCCTGCTCTTTGGGAGGTCAAGTCGGGTGGATCACCTGAGGTCAGGAGTTCGAGACGAGCCTGGCCAACATGCACCTATCTTTAATAAAAATACAAAAAAAATTAAAATTAGCTGGGTGTGATGGCCAGCACCTGTAATCTCAGGTACTTGGGAGGCTGAGGCAGGAGAATCGCTTGAACCCGGGAGGCAGAGGTTGCAGTGAGCTTAGATTGCACCACTGCACTCCAGCCTGGGTAACAGAAACAGAGACTCCATCTCTAAAAAAAAAAAAAAAAAAAAAAAGAAAAGAAAGAAAAATGCAATAGCTGCATTAAAGCATAAGTTTTCTAACTCTACTGATAGCCCAATTTAGGGTTACTCTAATATTTAGCCACAAAACAAAATGAAACCTGGCTCTTTAGCCTGTAATTAAGGTTGTTTCACGTCCTTAGCTAGTAAGAACTTCTTTGCTCTGTTTATTTAAAAACAAAAACAAAAACAAACCAAAAAAAAAAAAAAAACCCCCATACTTCAAAGTTCCTAGGATAAAAATGACAAATTTTCAGAAAAACACTTAGTAGAGAATACAGAAATCAAGGCATCAATTTAATTTCACACTCTACCTGCCTTGGACTAATTTGTGTAAATTACATTTCATACTAAAAACCTCAGCCCATGTGACCACAATGGAGAAATAAGCAGCTTGCATAAAATTGAGTTTTTCAGGTATAAATATATAGCTCTTTTTAGTGTGTGAATGTTTAGCTGAATTTTCAATAAAAGTTTTACATAAAAATTTCCAAGTGTTAATTTCTACCATTTTCATTGACATGTCAATGTCACTGGGTTTTTACAGACCTAAAGAGTGCAAATCAACCCATGTGAGTCCATTTTTTCCCTCTTTTAGAAAAATGATTATAACCAAATTCTCAGCTCATGGATGTGAGTGAGCAAAGGACCCGTTGCATGAAACTGCATAAAGTTCCCACTTTGGGCCGGGCACAGTGGCTCACGCCTGTAATCCCATCACTTCGGGAGGCCAAGGCGGGCAAATCACAAGGTCAGGAGTTCGAGACCAGCCTGGCCAACATAGTGAAACCCCCATCTCTACTAAAAATACAAAAAGTTAGCTGGGCATGGTGGCAGACGCCTGTAATCTCATCTACTCGGGAGGCTGAGACAGGAGAATCACTTGAACCTGGGAGGTGAAAGTTGCAGTGAGCCAAGATCAAGCCACTGCACTCCAGTCCAGGTGGCAGTGCAAGACCCCATCTCAAAAAAAAAAAAAAAAAAAAAAAAAAGTTCCCACTTTGGCCTTCCACTTTCAGGAACGTGAACAGACAAGTGTTGCGTGCTGAGCAAGCCTTTGCGCACGTGTTTGTAGGTAAGATCCTCTAGCTTGTGGCCACCACGGCCACACAGAGCACCCGTCCCTGAGCAACAGCACCCCACAGCCCAAGAAAATCCAGGACCCCAAAATGATCATCCCTTGCCTATGCACTGTAACAGTCCTTATGTGACTGGCAGGGGCTGTTATCTGCTCTTAACCCTCCCTAGTCCTTATATTTGCAGCTACTTTAAAAGATTTTTCCAAATGTCTTGGAGGGATGGCATCAGACAACACAATGTACCTTTCTGATACAATGTATCTTTCTACATTAAAAGGATGACTATTTCCCAAAGGAGTATGGCCATGCCCCTAAAGTTTATTACTGATCCTGAAAATAGCCTCAGTTCTATGAAGCCATTACTTTCTTTCCAACATCTAGTTGAGGACCGTGACTATCTCTAGCAGGGGATAGCAACTTACGGCTCATAGGCCTGCTGCCTGTTTTTGCAAATAAAAGTGGAATTGGAACACAGCTACGCTCATCCATTTACATATTGTCCATGGCTGCTTTTGTGCTACAACAGCAGAACTGAGTAGCGGGGACAGAGACCCTATGGCCCACAGAGTCTACAATATTTGCTATCTGACCCTTTATAGACAAAGTTTGTCAACCCCTGCTCTCTATGAGCTTAGTGCTAGGAATGAGAGGAAGAATAATAACAATGACTCTATAATTCCTAGACACTGGGAGAATGCAACATGTGTGAAAATAAATGGTATTTCTTTTTATTGCCTCTTTACAAAAAGACATCTAGAATCAATACAATTGATTTGGGACACCTGATACAAACTTTCTACCAGTGGTTAAGTTATGGGTTTAGCAGAAAACCACTGACTTCAGCTGTCATTCTGTCCTAGGTGCACCTGATCCATCATCTTTGTCCATTTCCTCGGGTTGCCAAATCCCTTCATGAGCAGATACTGTATTAATCAAATCTGGGAAGCCGTAATGAAACTGAGTTATAACTGAGACACCTTGACTAATGTTCCCCAAGATTCTTCAACATTGAAAAGATCGCGTCTACTGTTCCACTCATGGGTCAAACAAACAAGCAGACCTGCCTTGTGGCTTCTTGGGGGTTGAGGGGCAAGATCTCAGGGAGGAGACTGAACCTGGCAAGAAGGGGAGAGTCTGTAAAGCCCTGGGGCGCGTCCTTAGCAGTCAGCATCTCTGGGCAAGGTGAATGCAGGCATCCCACTGTAAACTGCCTCCCTCCTTGCTCTGCAGCTGATAACAAAGTCAAACTCACTCTTTCAAGTCCATGGAAGCGGGTCCTCTCCATTTGGTTCTTTCCAAAATGGACCAGGGCAGGGCTGTGATATCCAGGGGTGCGTGGGGCAAATCACACTCTGGGCTTCCTCCTCTCCTCCACCTACCATGCCAACACTGGTCCCTTATGGAGCCCAGAATAAATGTCTCTCAAGCACCTTTCCAGGTCAATGCTCAGGCGGGCACTGGCACATGAAGACATGACCAGCCTTCAGTGGCTGACGTGGGGTACAGCTGAGTTGCCTGAGGGAAAGGATGGGAGGCCCAGGGGAGGAACTCCGCAGCAGCAACCACCGTCCCCCACCTCGCAGTGAAGCTGACAGGCTCTGCATTTGCTACACCATGCTGCAACTCTGCTTACTACCATCTCTGTTCCTTGACCACACACCCCTCGTGGGTGGGAACCCCATCACACCCATCTCTGTGGTCCCAGCATAGCACTTAATACCTAGATTGGGTTCTGGAATGCATGGATGGTTGGACAAGCACAACTACATTAGGACCTTTCAACAGCAGCTGATAGAGACCTTCCTCCCCCTCCAGCTATTCCCATGATCTCCAGCATTCTTAGAGCTCCTGAACGTATTGTCCAGCCCCACTCCCACCAGCCCAGGAATTTCCCCAACTGACCTGAAGATCTCCCGGAGTGTAGGCTGTGAGGCAGATCAGCCACACTCAAGTGTCTACAAGGAACGAGCATAAGCACCCCCGAAAGGGCAGCAATGAACTGAGATGCTCTTTGAGGGACCGGCATACTGTAAAATCTGGGCAGACACACCCTTGTCAAGAAGGGATGTTATAGACAGAACTAGAAAAATCCCAGTCCATGAGAAGGCAGCAGTTTCTATCAGAACAGGCCTTTTGAAATAACTTGCAAGTGAATTACAGCGGCTACTTCCTATGGGAGGGAAAATTATTTCAGGCGGCTTCCAGTCCCTTGTGACTCCTTAATTCAAGTCATATTCAAGAAATATTTATTGGGGGTAGAAGTCTCAATAAATATTTCTTGAATATGACTTGAAGTCTCATAGGTGTGTTTTAAGATCAGGCCACACTGGAGCACTCCAGTGAGCTTTTAAAATCTGCCTTAAAAGAAATTTTAATGCACGGTCTCCTTTGCTTTAAACAGATTTCTCATTGCAAACAAACAACCCCCTACAAATACCTGCTTTCCTCGGCTTCTCCTCTGGTCTCGGCTGCCAGGCGAGCACTGAGTGCTTGGGGACGCCGCCATTAAGATGGTGGTTTTCAATAGTAACTTGGCATTTATCATAGTGAGAGTATTATCTTCTCAACAGAAGCTGACAATTTGTCCTATTCCTCCCTTGAGAGAATCCACTGAGCTCACATTTGCTTCCCCTGCATGCTGTTTCTCCTACTACAACATTTCTTTGCCTGGAAAGAAAATATTGTGACTCCTTGCCATATTCACTTCATTAGCATAAGAGGAAAAAAAGCCAAATCCTCCACTCAGCCTCCCCCAACACCAACTCCAGCTGGGTTACATCTAGGAGGCTCTCATATGCAGGACTTCAGAGGTTCCAGATTTGTCAGAGGAATAGCTGTGGAGGGATGGGGGCAGAGACTGGTAGCAACTAAGAAACTGGCCCCCAAATCATCCATTTGGCACATAGAGTGTGCTTTGTGCAGATTAAGGAAGGGAGTTTGTCAGAGGGAGCGAACCTGGTGGAAGTCAGCAATTTTGGGGGTTCAGGAACTCCGGGTGAGGGGGGAATGGGAAGCAGAAAGGGAATGCAGGCGGGGGAGACTATCATTAAATGCCCATGTGCCAAACCCTGGGCAAATGTTTATCTCTTCATTCTTACAACCCCGTTATAAGTGAAACTGTATGCCCACTTAACAGATGAGAAACCAGGCTCAGGAGACAGTCACATCAAGAGCCCAGGGTCACAATGCTAATAGCAAATGATCTGGATTCAAACTCAGGTCTGCCCAATTCCAAAGTTGAAAATTGTTCAACTTCACCCCATGATATCCAGGCAATTCCCAAGAGTCTGGCAGTAAATGCCAATGGCATCTTCGGATCATTCAAGAGGGAAAAATATACCCACAAACACATTCTCCGTGTCCACAGCCAGATTTCTCAACATCAGGGAGGACCGTGCTGTGGCTTCATGTTGTTGGACCCATTTTCATTCCCCAGCCTGGCTGATCACAGGATGGCAAGTCAGGGAGAGAAACTGCCCAATGCCCATCCAGTCCCCCATCCCTGGTGCCCATAACACCTATGAGCCTAGATGAGTCAACCCTCTCACCAGCTTTGCAAAGTCACTGACCTACTCTGGTACCTCAGAGTAGTGGACCTCAGCAGGTCCACTACTTTTCTTAGACCAAAGACAAAAAGAAGAGAAGGAGAGAAGATTACACAGAGATGCATATCCCGTTTTACCCTCCTGACATCTTCCCTTCTCTGTGTTTACCCTCTGTGCCAAAACCTGCCTGAGAATCTCCCGACTCTGAAAAGGGCCTTGCTGACCAGCTGCCCCGATATTCCCTTAGTTCTATTAAGCTTTTGCCGTGGGATGAAAATCACTAAGCAATCCTGGGCTGCAGTGAAATAATGGGTTTCACATAAGGAAATGCTCCAGATAATGGAATATGCTCTCTCAAAGCCCCATTTTAAAAAGAAAAGTCCTGGCTAGGTGCAGTGGCTCATGCCTGTAATCCGAACATTTTGGGAGACCGAGGCAGGTGGATTCTCGCCTCCTCCTGAGGCCAGCCTGCCCAATGTGGCAAAACACTGTCTCTACTAAAAATACAAAAAAATAGCCAGGTATGATGGTGGGCGCCTGTAATCCCAGCTATTCGGGAGGCTGGGGCAGGAGAGTTGCTTGAACCCGGGAGACAGAGGCTACAGTGAGCCTAGATTGCGCCATTGTACTCCAGCCTGGGCAACAAGGTGAAACTCTGTCTCAAAAAAAAAAAAAAATCCTAATTTTACCCTTTGAAACTCCTTCTCCAATGACTGGAACTTCCCTGCCCTCCGATACAGAGGATCCATTCATTCCAGCATTGTTGACTGAGCACCAACTACTGCCCAGGCCGTGGGCCAGTCCTGGTTCTACAGGGTGAGTAAACAGACCTAGCCCCACTTGGCGGAATTTACAGTCAGGTCAAGGCAAAGAGGCTACACATATCTGACTTCTTGATAAGCCAAGATTCCCTCTTCCATATTCCCATTATGGAGTTTCTCGGCTCCTGGTGTGTTTCCTTGATGACACACTCTGTAATTATTTTTATTATTTACTGGCCTGCTTTTGGCTCCTCCTCCGCCACCCACACCCCATGCTTGTTAAGCTACAAGTAAGCAAGGATCTTGTCTGTTCCGCTCACCAAGGTGCTCCTGGCTCCTAGCTCAGTGCCTGGCATTCAAGGTAATCAGGGTCTGCTGAATGAATCAATGAGCAAATGAATGATGCGTGAGACTGTGGATGTAATGCCTTCTGGGCCTAATGAGGAAGGATGACTATTTCCCTGCACTAAACAGCCCTACAGTGTGGATCTTTTCAAGATCGAAGCCTCTTAAGTTTTTATAGGTTTTCTCCCTCTTGCTTTACACTGACTTTATTAACATCTTTCCACCCCTTAATATTTGCTATAAATTTGAAAGAAGCCAGAAAACCAAGCTAATAAGAATCACATGTAAAGGAAAAGGAAAGAAAAACTTAAATGAGGATCTGAAAGGCTCTCCCAGGAGGCAAAATAAATGCGATAAACAGATTACTGGATCAATATATATAAACATATTTTAACAAACATCAGCCAAATGATACTGGGACAACCTCCAGGCCATATCCATTACCAAAAAAAACAAAAAAGAAAAGAAAAAAAAAGTTTAGTTATTCAAGAAAGAAATGTAAAGAGTTCGTCAGAAGGATCCACCCAGAAGAACTCTCTTTGGGCCCACATCAGTTCAACTCTTTCATCAAAGCCAGGGCAATCTGCAAGTCAGTTCCACAGACTGGAAGCAGCAGCTGGATGGAGGGGATGTCAGATACTACACAAAATGGAATCATCTTTATGCTGAGAAGATGCAGGAAGGGCTTTTCAGTTTGTATCATACCCAGGGTGGAAGAAATGAGTGGTAAGCTCCCCTACAGGACAGATGGAAAAGATGAACGAGAGAGTGCGAGAGTGAGTGAGTCAGTGAGTGTGTGTGTGTGTGTGTATGCGTGTATAAAGGCTGTTGCACTAGCAAGCCTACTGCTAGACAGAACTAGAGTGGAAACTCCAGAGGACTTGAGTCTTCAAGGTGGAAAATAACACCAGCTCATTAATGTTTGTTAAGTGCTCACCCTGTTTCTTAGCAGGATGCTAACAACTATACGTGCATTAGCTCATTTAATCCTCATGACAACCCTATGGGTTGAGGGCCATCATTACCCCCATTTTACAGATAAAGAAAGTGAGGTGGGGAGAAGCTAAATGACCCGGCCAAGGTTACCGTGCTAGTGAACAGATGAGCTGGGTTTGATACCAGACAGTCTCAGTGTAAACAACCTATGCTCTTATTAGCAGGCAATATGCTCAGCCAGGATGTATGAAAACTATTCAACCTGAGGGCCAAATCCAGCTGCCACCTGATGTTTGAAAATAAAGTTTTGTTGGAATATAGCCATGGCCATTCATTTTCATATTGTCTTTGGGCTGTCATCATGATAACATGGCAGAACTGAATGGTTCTAGGAGACCATCTGGGCCACAAAACTAAAAATAGTTATTATCTGGCCTTTTGCAGAAAAAGTTTGCCAACCCCTATGCTAAACAGTAAACAATAGAGATTCTCAACTTTTCTCCCTGTGTACTCCCCCTAAAGGTCAAGTACATTAAAGGACAGTCCAGAATGACCAGGAACAGAGACTGATGCAGCCAGAAGCTAATCTGAAGTGTCTGGAAGCATCACGGTGTTTCAAAAAATTATGCAAATATTGCAATCTGTGCCATAATATTTGTTCTAATAGTTGAAACAAACTGGCTAGGTGTGGTGGCTCACGCCTGTAATCCCAGCACTTTGAGAAGCTGAGGCGGGCAGATCACTTGAGGCCAGGAGTTCGAGACCAGCCTGGCTAACATGGCAAAAACCCGTCTCTACTAAAAATACAAACATTATCTAGGCCTAGTGGTACGCACCTGTAATCCCAGCTACTCAGGAGGCTGAGGCAGGAGAATTGCTTGAACCCAGGCAGTGGAGGTTACAGTGAGTAGAGGTCGCACCACTGTACTCCAGCCTGGGAGACAGAGAGAGACTCCAAGAAAAGGAAACAACCATAAAGGCAGTGACCTTCCTCAAAGATGTGCCATAGTAATTTTTTTTTCGAGGTGGAGTCTTGCTCTGTCACCCAGGCTGGAATGCAATGGCACGTTCTCAGCTCACTGCAACCTCCACTTCCCAGGCTCAAGCAATTCTCCTGCCTCAGCCTCCCAAGGAGCTGGGATTACAGGCACCCACTGCCACGCCTGGCTAATTTTTGTATTTTTAGTAGAGACAGGGTTTCACCACGTTGGCCAAGCTTGTCTCAAACTACTGACCTCGTGATCCACCCGCCTCGGCCTCCCAAAGTGTTGGGATTACAGGTGTGAGCCACTGCACCTGGCCACTCCATAGTAATTCTATGGTACTATAAACAAGTGGTCAGGGCCACTCCAAAGGAGATCATCTCAGGATAAACAGCTTAAGTGGATCAACAAACCCGGAGTCCTCACCCAGGAAGTCTGGATTTGAATCTTGGGCCCCACTGCTGTCTGGCTGAGGGGTCTTACGTAGGCATGTATGCTCTCCTAGTCTTCCTTACCTAACTTTAAAATGGAGATAATTATCCTGCCTCACAGGGCTGCTGGGATAATTACAAGGTAAAAGATACAAGAATGGTTCGGGCAAACAGGAACCCCTAAATCTGAACACAAATGCTAACTTAGCTGGAATGGAAAGCAGTGACATCAATACATGCTCCTTTTTTGATAAGAAAACAAGTCTGTCAATGAAAGAAATGAGGTGGTCTTAATAAAGAATAAAAATCGGCCAAGGTGGTGGCTCATGCCTGCAATCCCAACACTTTGGGAGGCTGGATCACTTTAGTCCAGGAGTTCAAGACCAGCCTCAGCAACATGGTAAAACACTGTCTCTACTAAAAATACAAAAGAAAAAAATTAGCCAGGCATAGTGGTGCGTGCCTGTAGTCCTAGCTACTTGGGAGGCTGAGGTGGGGGAATCACCTGAGACCCAGAGGCTACAGCTACAGTGAGCCAAAATCGCGCCGCTGCACTCCAGCCTGGGCAACCAGAGAGAGGCCCTGTCTCTAAATAAATAAGTATAATTTTGAAAAAATGTGTTTCCCTATCAGAGAATCTGCAAGCTCCCTTGCAAACTACTCCAGCATTTAATCTCCCTGTTGCTTTCCATACCCTTGTCATTTTGTAAGAAAGCTGGGAATAAAATCAGGAAGACTGTCTCTGATCATTCCATACCCTGACTTATTTTTCCTGAAGTGAAAAACACCTTAAATTGTTTTTTCACTACTAATACTCTATAAGCAAATCTGAAAATATTTACCTCTGCCGTCAATTATAAAAGACCGTTAGCGACCTCGACAATCCAAAATCTCTAATTTACAACTAATCTACTTTCACAAATTACATCTTCTATAACAGACCACCTAAAAAAGACTTCCTGTAAACAAACCACTCTGCTGGGTTTTTTATTTAATTTAATTTAATCCTTATTTTGCTCTTTAACTACAAGTAACTCACTTTTTACTACACTGGGGCAGAATTTTTTTTTTTTTTTTTTTTTTTTTTTTTTTTTAAAAAAACAAAAAAATAATCCCCAAATAGAAGTCCAGAGGGGTGCACAGACAGACAGACACTGCCTTGAGCGGCCACTTGTTCATGTCACATTTGCTGGCCTGTGCTCACGCAAGGCCCTAAGCTGGCTGTTGTCCCAGTTGCTGGATTAAATCAAGAAGGTAAAATGTAAATAGGTACGAAGTAAGTGCTCTGGAACACATAGGAAGGAATACTTAAATCTCCTTGGAGGTGGTCATGGAAGGTGTTGACCCTTTTAGAGTGTCAGGCCAAGTGTCTTGACTTCTCCCAACTCCTCCACCGCCCCCATTTTATTTATTTGTTTGTTTGTTTATTTTAGAGACAGAGTTTCGCTCTCGTTGCCTAGGCTGGAGTGCAATGGCATGATCTCAGCTCACTGCAACCTCTGCCTCCCGGGTTCAAGTGATTTGCCTGCCTCAGCCTCTTGAGTAGCTGGGACTACAGGCGTGCGCCACCATGCCCAGCTAATTTTTGTATTTTCAGTAGAGACGGGGTTTCACCATGTTGACCAGGATGGTCTCGATCTCTTGACCTCGTGATCCACCCGCCTCGGCCTCCCAAAGTGCTGGGATTACAAGTGTGAGCCACCACACCTGGCCCTCCGAACTCCCCTTTAAGGTGACCAATTCATTCTAGTTTGCAAGGCCCAAGTTCCTGGAAACCCCCTTAGTCACAGGAAAACCCACACAACTGGTCAGCCTACCTGCATCCCGCCCAGGTCTTCTCTCTACAAGGAGGAATCGTCAATGATATGAAGTCGGCTGTGTTGCGCTGGCTCCCATCCTGCCCCTTCTTTCACCTGTCTCCCACCCACTACTTGCACCAAGTAATCATCAACCCTTCACGGTTAACAGCCCCTCCACCAGATTCCTCCATCCTGGAAACATCACCAGTCACACAAACATCCCACAAAGAAGGGAGGCCCATCACCAAGGCTGCAGAAGGCATGTGGCCTTGCGGCAAATCAAATCCCACTTTGCCAGTAACTCAACTCTAGGAAGACAGCACAAAGTAGAGGAAGAAATGGAAGCAGCATATACAAATTCAATCTATTCCATCTCCTATTTATTTTATGCAAAGTTTTCCTGGTCCTTATTAATGCCAGCTTTCCGTCCACCATTTAATCTCTGCTTCCATTTCGTTCTTAGGGGCCTGTGATTATTCTAATTCAGCATTTGGATGACTTCATTTCCGCTCAAGTACACCCAGGTCAACTTGGATAGAAGAGAAAGAGGAGGAGAAGAAAAATAATCAGCTAAAAGCTATTAAATATCAGCCATGTGCCTCATGATTGGTTTTAAAGGCAGTGGTGAGGTTAGCAACAGTCAGAAACTCAACCCTTCTGCCTCTTCCGGCATATTAACATTTTTTTCTGGGACTCTCACTAGGATGGCTTCGAATGTAAATAAAGTACAGATTGGCAGCCCACTTTTAGCTAATTCACAAATACAAAGTATGAATATACGGAGCTATAAACATTTAGAGGGTGGTAACTTGACAAATCCGGCAGGTCTACAGAGAGACTATTTCTAAGAGGAAAAAAGAAGAAAAGAAAAAGGAAGAAACAGAAAAGCATACAGGACCTGTGTAAGGGGATGTCCTACTCACGGTGAGGGGCGGGCAGGAATCTCCATATCAGTGTTCACTCCCCCGAAACAGAGCTGGATTTCTATGCCAAGTCTAAATGAACTGCGCTTTCTCTTCCGTAAGAACCACCCCTTGCACCCACTGGCACAAGCTTGAACCATGATTTCTGGTACATTTTCAGTTCCCACTGAACTACATTTAGGAAGAGAAAGGCTTTATTTTCTCATGCTAACAACTCCATTGTAAGTGACATCTTCAGAGGGCCCAGGAGGACTCTGGGAAGGTGAGCTGGTAGAAGTACTTCATACCTACCCCCACCTGACCCCCGCCCCTACCCACCCAGACCTCATTAACTCCTTTGTGCCCAAGGGCTCCCCCACCCCTGACTTTCCTCTCCTTGCCCCAGCAGAAAAAGTAAACACAGCTAAATCATACCAGGAAATGCAGTCCAACAGCAAAGCCAGAGTTTCAGCCTTGTTCCTCTACCTACTATGCAAATGCACGTGGCATTTGATTAGCATACTCAAAGTTTTCCCAGCTCGCTACCCAGAAGGCATCCGATTTTCCTATTTGTATATTTTAAAACACTGTTAACAGAGCAATAATAATGTCGGATGCCTTTCCCTAACAACAGCTGGCTATATTTTACACACTAAGAGGGAAATGGGAAGTCTTCCTAGAAATCCACTATCTATTTCAGGGTCTCCTTTTTGAAGCAAAAATACGAACACTTAAAAGTGAGGTTAGGGCGCTCAATCTTTAGCATTACACAACGTTCACTGGCTTCGGCCAAAATCAGTCTAAGGAGAAAAATCAGTCTAAGGTGGAGATGCAGAGGAGGCAGGATTCTCCTGTCTACTCGCTGTGCTGTTTCCCACTGAGCAGCTCAGCCAGGGGTCAGGGCGCAAATAAAGTCCCCTCCCCTCATGACACACTTCCCAAGGGGAGACGCTGACACAAACCAGGCAGAAAATTAATAAAACATGGGGACAGTGTTGGCTTTGTTCTGTGCTATTAGAGGAAGAAAACTGAAACACAAAAGTAGCCTTCAGCCACGGAAGAGAGAAAGCGCATGGTCCCTGGTCCAGCCTGCCACTGTCATTGAAGAAGGTCTGAGGAGCAACACCCAGGCTCTCCAGAGAAAGGTGGGACAGAGGAGAGGGTGAGGCCCGGGAGGGGACGCTGACCACTCCCCGGCAACCCACCTGCAAGAACCACTTCAGAGGACAAAGCCTCAGGGAGCTCTGACGTCCACAAAGGACACGTAAGACTTGTTTTCCAGGCCTCCTCTGAGACAACCACAGCTCTGTTTATCTACGACACACACTGAAAGCAAGAAAACGCTACCTGAGGATCACAGTCCACTCTCAGGAGTATTTATCTTCTCAGATCTCATGCCTTTTAAATTTCAAAGGGCTTTATGAGATTTTTATTCCAGGTATGACTCTCCTCGCACATACGCTATCAAAAGAGGCGTGTGAGCGGCGGCCGTGATCGCAGCTTCGCACCTGCACAGAAAAACCTGGAGCTGGGAAGTCACAGGCACCCAGCGCTTCCTCGGGCCGTGCTCCCCCACGATCGCCCACGCTGCCGGATCACCGGGGAGGTCTCGTTACATTAAAAAGCCAATTCACTCTTGTTTTCCTTTTTTCTTCCCCCCGAAAGCTTTCACACACCACTCTCCGGAGCTCAGGTTAACTTGTGTGGGCACCCACCAGCCCCCACCCGACACAAAGAGCTCCAACGACCCTTCCACCTGGTTTCCGCGGGGCTCTCCCACTTTAATGAGACCTCAAGCACCGTCACTTTCCCTGCCAGTTCCTGGAAGACCTTTGCTTCCCAGCCACCATGATGAGGGGCTGGCACAGGAAGGGGTTAAAGCCCTCATGTCAAACCACAAACTCGGGCACTGGCCCAGAAGGGACATGGGAACCAGAGCAGCCTGTGATAAAGGCCGGATTGTAGCAGCCCACTGAATTGGAAATGACTTGTAGGCCTAATGAAACAGAACTTTGGCAGTAACACAGAATGAAAGGAATGAGACAATAAAAGGCAGGAACAAAGGGTGCAGAGTCGTTTCAGCTTAGCAAAATAAGCTCACTTTGTTGTTGGGGAAAGCCAAAGCCGATTAGGATAAACCAATGACTAAGCATAAGTCTTCCAAACTAATTACACAGTTCACCATGTGAAGTATAATTGGAAGCCTCCAAACGCGGGCTGCTTTGCTTTCACAGGAGTTCTATAAAGTGAGAATTACCTAGCACGCTCGGCACTGAGCTGCCCTATCATTGCCGGGAACAGCTGAAAGGTGCGGAACCAGTCCATCCGGGACGAAGCCGAGAATTCATTAAGTTTAAAGGCCTCTTTTTGATCTCCAAAATCCTATAAGTGAGAATTTAAGAAACCGGTACTTGAAGGAGCGGCCTGAAGGGGAGAAGGAGGAAGCCCATGTACTTGGAGTTTCTTTGATCCAGTGCATTTTAATTACCAGGCTGGGTCTTCCAGGTGGCTCTGCTGGGGAAACAGTGTGGAACAGGCCAGCTCATCATCAGGGTCTGCGCGGGCATATCTGGAGCATCATTTACCTGCCGTTTTTTGGAATGGCCTATATACATCATTCCTGTGTGTATAAAATCAGGACCACAGATAACGTCCACTAGAAACCCAGGGCAGTCAAACAAATTACTGTATATCAACGTTTTTGACAAATGAACAAAACCTGCTCCTTCTGAGAAAGAGGCTGCTGGGTGGTAAAGTGGGAGGCGGCGCTTTAGAAACAGTAAAAAGAGGCAAGGGGTAGATTGTGCACCAACAAGTGACTACTGAGGCTCCTCAGCACTGGCTGTGTGATCTTGGAGAATTTCCTCACCTTTCTCAACATCAGCCCCATCACCTACATAAGAGACCTGCCAACCACCTCACTTGACATCCTTGAGAAGCACATTGTAAAATGCATTAGAAAGTTTAGCACCAAGCACGCATGACTCCAGTTCAGAAACAGCACACAGTAAAAGGATCTTCATAGTAAAAACCTGGACCTCAAAAATTCCAAGTTTCATTAATTACATCTAGCCTGTGAAACAGGGAGATGGAAATACTCTAACGGTTTTTCTGGCTCTTACTCATAGGATGAAGATTCCAGTTTATAAATAGTGGCTTTTTCCAAATAAAGAATCTCTTCACTGTCCCTGCGTCATGAAGTCCAGAAATAAACTCTAACATGGTAAGACTGCTGTTTATATACCATGCTCATTACTACTGACAATGGATTATTTTGGTTATAGCCTATAGATGTCTTAGATATAATCTATCCATCCTATTAATGTTTAAATACTTTCTACATTACTGACTTTTCAAGCTTAAAACTAACCTTAGGAATAATTCATTCAGTCCAGGGGTCAGCAAACTATGGTCCACAGACCAAATCTAGGTCATCACCCATTTTTGTAAATAAAGTTTTATTGGCACACAACTACAACCATCTGTTTACCTGCTGGCTATGGCTGCTTTCATCCCACAAGAGCAGAAGTGGGTAGCCCCAGCAAGGACTACATGCATTGCAAAGCTGCAAATATTTACTATCTGGCCCTTTATAAGTTTTCCAACCCCTTCCCCGGAAAGAGAAACTGAGGCCAGCAAAGGCGCAACGTGTCCAGCTGTCCCAGGGAGGTCGGTCTATCGTCAGGCCCAGCACGAAGGCCTAGAATACCTGCTGCCTTACCCTTCTCCAAGGACAGACAACACTGGAACAGCTACCCAGGGTGGGAATGGCCATCCTCACCCCTGAGTAGCTCATGGTGACGTGTGGATTCTGCTAACCTGTCAGCTGTTCATCTCAGTTGGCAGAGTGCTGACGCCAATGGCCACACTTCATGATCTCATCTTAAATATAAATAAGTAACAACGCCTCTAACCTGGGGGAGATGGGGTGAATCTTCTGGGAGGAAGGTGGAAGAAAAGCACAAAAGGGTTTACAAGCCTCCAATTTAAGTTATTTAAAGCTCCCGGTGTGTCATTCTGTACCCACTCCACTTACAGTAATGACATATTCAAACTCCCTTAGCTCAGCCCCTTGATAGCAGTCTTACCCATCTTGATTGCCACCTGAAATAAACAGTCGGAGCAGCTGCCAGCTCGGGCAGGATGGGATGAGGGAGAGGAGAAGGGAATGGCGGTAAGGAGACCCAAAAGGAGACCGGAACACCTTGCATATGGAGGCTGTGGAAGGAAAGTTCTTGACTTGGAGGAAAAGGAAGTGGGGTGTGAATTCTGGCTCTTACACTATCTTACCTGGGTGACCTCTGCTGAGACTCAGCCTCCCTGGCCCTGAGTGTCCACCTTTGCCAAATGGACTGGATGATACCAGTACCCACCACACAGGTAAAATGAGGGGATGAATGTCCAGGTCCCCAGCCCTCTGGAGCACACTGAAGGGCACAATATCTTCTTGTCCTTTGCATCCTCCCCACCCTCAGTCCATCTTGGGGACTGATCAGCAGCTGGAACAGGGCAGAGTTCAGATGCTCTTACCAGACAAGCCTGGAGGGGGCGCCCACTCCCAGCTCCACCTCCTGGAGGGCTGCGACCTCGAGTCCAAGAGACCATCCCACCAAGACCCCACTTAACAGTCTGCAACACGGGGACTACCACTACCAGCCTCCCAGAGAAAAATGAAATGAGGTGATGTGAGTAAATGGCCTGGCCTAGTATCCCACACTTCACGGTCACTATAAATAATAAAATAACATCTCATTAAATTGCAGTTGGTTAAAGACAGTCCAAAAAAATGTGTGTGCAAAGGAATGTGTGTGCGTGAATATACTTCATGCAAGTGTGTGTGTGTGTGTGTGTGCACGCGTGCATATTCTTTCTATTTTCTTCAACCGGAGTATAAAGTACCAAAGGGCAGAGGCAGTCTGTCAATTCACCTGTTACCTCCTTTCGCAACCACTGTGTTTCCTCACTGCACTGTGCCTGAGGCCCAGCAACAGAGTCTCCCTGACTTTGATCATTCTGGGTTCAAATAAGTTATGCCAGAATCCTGAGAGGTGGCGGGTCCCGCCCAAGGGGACACACACAGTAACACCAGCCACCAGCCAAATGAGAAATAAGCTATTCTGAAGACAGACCCAAATAATGCAGAGCCTAAGCATGCAAAAAGCTACTAAAATATGAGCATAGAAGAACATTATGGCTTTGATACATTCAAAAGCCTCCTTGGTCTTTTAATAAAACACTTGATAAGTCTGCACATCCTGCCAGAGTCCACAAACATTACTGCAAAATTAACTGGGCAGCTTCAGACCCGGCGAGTGCCATGCCAGGGAAGATGGTTTGTGACTGCTTCTCAGACAAAAGGACAACTGTTCTCAGGCAGCAATGGTGGCCACTGTGGGGACAGCCAGAGCTTGCAGAGTGTCCTACTGGAGGCATACTGGGTCATGATGATAAGTGCTAATGAAAAACAACAGAGAGAGACAGAAATAGAGAAAGGAAGAAAGAGAGGGAGAGAGGAAGAAACCAAGGGTTGGGGACGTGCACAGATGTGCTATGTGCTGGCAAGTAGACGCCTGTTTGGAGTACTCCAAAAGCCCATCTGGGCAGCACCGACTTCCCTGAAACAAATTGGCCCACGAGATTCCAAGGCAGGTTATGGCTCGAAAAAGAAATCCCACCTCGTGTTTGCAAACACTACCCCTGGACTTGTTTTAAAAGCAGAAAGATAGCAAAGAGAGCTCACCCTCCAGAGCTTTCCATTATGCAAGCCGGACCTGTCTCGTTTCATTATTTCCAATCCCTCTCCCTGGGCAGGGTGGGGCTGGGCGGTGGACAGATCCCCCTTCCTGCTTTAAATCAGCCTGGAAGGGAGAAGTGCTATAACGCACACAGTCATCAGCACACTTAGCTGTTGGTTAGATCCAGCTAGAAAGAATCCATCACCAGCTGACAATGCCAGCAAGGCCATGGGGAGGCCTTTTCAACAACAACCTGGAAGGGCAGCCCAGAGCCACTCGGAATGCAAGGCTGGGCAGGAAGAAGCTGGCTTCTTTTTGTTGCATGGTCTCCTATCCACGCAGAAATTAATACCGGAGACAAGAACGGCTCCATTTTGAGGCTAAGTAAAGGTCATGGCTCTCATCCCAGACAGCAGTTCACAAATGGACACACCTGGGGACGGGGTCATAGCTGTCCATCGCCCTGGGCAAACCAACAGCACAGAACCTTCAGCCTGGCCAGTGGGCGGCTGTGCCTTTGTACCCAGGGCAAGCGTGAGAGCCGTCGTGGGAGGAAACAAGT